GCATTTACGCTGCCACTCGTGACAGGAATTATGAATAAATTTCGAAATAACCTGTTATTAACATCTATTAATCATCGGCTTCCGTGACGTTGACGTCGTTCCTACCAACATAATTGCACCACCGATGTATTTAACCGAAAGATAAAGATCGAGAGATATTACGTAACGCGCTTCGTTATTTCTTTATACGCCGTTTCCCCTTCCCCCTCCTTTTTTCCTTTCCGTGTAAAACGTCCAAATTCTTCCCTTCTTTCTTCTCGAAACAATCGATCTCGAAGTACTTTGACGCTACGCACAAGCACACCTGCTGCGAGACACGCGATTTATTCCCAAGTGGAATAATATATAATCAATATATGTTTAAAGTGGAGTACAAGTTCGCGAAACGGATTATATAATATCTAATAATACGTTTCGTTCGACGAAACTTTGCGAGTTCGCGTGTGTCGAAGAATTTTCGATAGATAGAAATAGTTATTTACCTTTGACGATACCGTCTGTTCTCTCGTCGCGGTGTGTATATTTATAGCTGGGAACGTTGACGTATTACATACGGCCATTAACGGTGAAAATGTCACAAAGAGATTTATCGAACGTTATTTACCATTATTGTTGGATATAGTTGTCGCGGTGGACGGATAGCGTGGATGGTATCGCGAGGAAAAACTCGTGGCTCCATCACTCATTTCGCGCTATGCGTCATACGTGTTGCAAAATCCTTCGTAAACATTTATCCTCGTAACGCGATGGTTTTCCCGATTGGACGTTTCATCGGGGTTTTCATCGATTAGAGATAAAGAGGAAAGGAAGGAAGGAAGGAATTGGATGAAGGAAGGAGGATCGTAAAGGAGGTGGAAAAAGTGGTGGACGGAAGCTAAAGTTCGGCGGCGCGCGATAAATTAATGGTCGGTCGTCGTTGCGCTCGTACACGGTCACATACAGGAACACATCGCAACGCATCATTTGTCTTCTCATTATAAATGTGAGCCACCGCTCTACCGCACCGTGACAGTCGGCCGAAATAAATTGCCACGCGTTACGTTTGTACTTTCGTTTTATATTTGAAACGACTACGAGCCGGGGAAGGCTCGTGCGGTCCCACCGCCTCCAGACAAATTGCCCATTTGCATAATGCCGTTATTTATTAATGATCGCGATACAGGTACTTCCGATGCTACGTAAATACCCACCTGCGGCGTCGGCCAATCGACACAACCTTCTAATTCGACGTCCGTTCCCCGCTCGACAAATTTATATTACCGATCCGTTCCTCCTATTATTTCCACCTTTGAAACGCGCATCCTCCTCCCTTCCTTCCAATTTACGACCCCTTTCTTTCGTTTCACCTCTACCACCGATTAATAAACAACGTTCCATTATCTCCATTATTTCCATTATTATTCGGAGGGGAGGACGAGAAGAAAACTCCACGTATTTTTGCATTCTCTTTTCGAAAGTGCGTTACACTTTGTACCGCGTTAATCAAAAGAAACGTAGTTTTGCTTGGTAATTGAACGCAACGACTTAATATATATGCACAATAATTTGCAAGTCATTTACAACGCCTCGAGATTACGGTATTTTTTTTATATAAAACGGTTAATAATATCTGAATATAAATATTTCAGAAAATAACTTCGTCATTGCTATTCGCTTTATCGAGTGAAAAAAAGAAGAAGAAAAAGTTATCAGATATCGCGATAACACTTTTCGACTCATCGTATACATTTTTAAAACCTCGTGTTTTGAAATTCTATGGAAAGAAAATTACGTAAAACGATCGAATTTCGAGCGTCCTTCTTTTACTCAAAAGCTGCGAATTTTTTTTCGTTCCGAAGACGAGAATTTATGTCGACGAGTTTTACCAGCTTCCTGGTTACGCGAATTATTTATATATATATATATATATATCGATAACGAGCATTTATCTGGAAAAAGAAGATGGAAGGCATAAACGCGAAAAACCTGTTCATAAATGTAACGCATCGCGTGTCGTTTGATCGGGAGGAGATCGGGCATCGCGTTGGCGATCGTTGGATCGAGCAAGAAATATGAAATGGAACGAGTATTTATGGCGAGTGCGACGCGCAAAGAGAGGGAAAGAAAAAGAGAGAGAGTACGCGATGGTTGATGTAATGGGTAAACGAAAGGAGAATGGCGAAAAGGAAAGGCGAAATGTAAAATATCGAGGAAAGATAGAGGGAGTGGAGTACGTACGTACGAGTGTTGGAGTTTGCGCGACTTGGTGGCGTAACCAAGATATACGAGCGTTTTTCCCCAAAAAAGTGTTAAGGAATTATGCTTCGCGGAGTAAATGAGATGTGTCTGCGCCGGGACATAGATCACGGCCACGCTATCCGTTCTCACCACCGTGGAAATAAATACGATTTTCTCGGCGAAAGAGACTAGGTCTGGAAGGAGACGAGGAGGAAAAGGTGGTGGCAGTTAGAACGGAACAAGTGGATGGCGAGAAGCACGAGTCGGAAGGGGATAGGAAAATGGTCTCCTAGCGGGCCGCATCCCGCACCACATCTTTCTACCCGACACACGAGGGATCCAACGTAGCCATTTCTCTGCCCCGTTATACGCCTCCTATATACGTATCTACTACCCCCCAACACCTACCTACACCCGGCAAATAAATTGATCCATTACTCAACCGAGCAGTCATCTTCCTTCCTTTGCCTCTCTTCGCCCGCTCCCTTCCTTTCCTCTCGCCGCAGTCGCCGCCGCCGTTGCCGCCGCCGTTGCCGCCGCCGTCGCCACCACCCTTTTTCCTTCGCGCTTTTCCGGGAATGCTGCCAGAGATTCGGTAAAGCCCCTTTCACGCCCTGTTGCAGAGACGATGATACGCCGCGATTTACTCACCCGAGTCCGTCTCTTCTCACCCACCGAAACCGGGAAACCGGGAAATTGATGCCACTTCCAAAGGATTCACGTCTTATGCCAATTTATTTCGTATCGTCCAGGTTCCACCTATATTCCAATTAATCTTTCCTTCGAACGGAATCGTCATTTCCGATCGTTGCTTCCTTTTATCGCGATCGAAAGGAACGTCTAAAATATATATCTTTCTCTCTCTTTCTTGAAATTGTAATCAACTTGAAAACTTTTGTCTTTTGCTCTGAATATTGCTCGTAACAGCCGTGTTAAACGGAGCGGCGATGATATTATCGACCGATCTCGTATCGATGTGGACGACGGTAATGGCGAGACGAGAAAGTGGATGGATGGAACGAGAGACGAAGGGTAAACGCGATGGATTCGCGGAAAACGGACGTTGAATATTTTGTTGATTCGAATTACGAAGAGGTAAGGAATGGAGGATGGATCGAGTTGCGAGTTTCGATCTCGGTCGGTAACTATCGGAACGAGTATATACTCGCCGATGTCCTCGACCACGTTTCATTATCTTTATTTTAGTTTTCAGTTGCTCGCAATCAACATCCGGATCATGTTTTAACGACTATTTCGCGTGTGTAAATTGGTATAATTCAGTTTCGCTACATGATTTTCCTTGTGCTGAAATGACTTACCGCTTTCATTGTTACATACGTCCATCCGCGTTGGTTAATTAAACAAGAGATTAATTAACGCGCTTCGAATTTCCTGTTTTATACAATTGCTAATTTGTAAAATATCAAACCGCGACTCGTTATCTCGGTTCCACCGAGAGACGCTTTCAAGCTTCGTTGCTCGGAATAAAGTATCAAACTTTTCAACTCCGGCCCGTATCAGCCCGATACCTTTTAAATATATACTTGGTCGTTTACTTCATGATTTACGGATTCTCGTATATTTTAATCTTAATTATCGTTTCGCACAATTTGAACACATTGAGCGTATTCGTCAACAGAGAGAGAGAGAGAGAGAAGCATAAACATCTACGCGTCGATTTAGATATTTAAACGTCGTATAAATTTAAATAATCGGCCTCTTTGGAAAACCAATTATCGATATTCTTTTTTTTTTTTTTTTTATTTTTCGCGTTAATATTACGATCTCGCGTTATTTATTGTGTACATGTATATATATCTACGGATTGGAATAATTTAACAGGGAATAGAAAGCAAATGGATGGAATAATAATTTTTTCCTCGATTCGTGTGTAAAATTATTATCTTTTTTTCTCCTCTCTCTCTCTCTCTCTCTCTCTATTCTTTTTTATCGACCGCTATCGAACGATTAAACCTGTAGTTGTTTGCATATCCGGTTTATGTTTCAATCTGGTTCCATCAATATGAATAAACACCGGCATGTGAGGTAGCTCGGCGCTGCATTAATATGTATTGGCAATAAATCGATATCGATAATTAAAATCTGTGCCTGCCATAAGGCCTTTGGACGTGAGCGCGTTTATATAAAAGTTCAATTTGTTATATGTAACTGTGCGAGATGACTATAAATATTGCGTTACCCTTTTTAACCGGGGCTCGTAAATCCCCGTGATTTATATCCCGACTGTCTGTAAGCGTGTGAAGGGGTCGAGGTTTTACGTATCGTTGCACGCGTCCCACGATTTTCATATTTCTTCCCGCTACGGACAAAAGCCAGTTTCGTTTTCCGTTTAATTTACGCGATCGATGATAACGCGAACGTCAACGTGCATTTACCACCGCGATAAATACCGCGAGAAACGCGATCATCACCGTCCAATTAATTCCCTCCTCCTATATATATATATATATATATATCCTCCTCCTCCTGTACACGTATAATTCCAAGATCGAAAATGGATTCACTCCAAGTTTAAATCGTCCATTTGTCACGATATACGAATCCAAATTTTTCAAAACTCCCCTCTCTCTTATATGTATATATATATATATATATATCGAGCGTTGGATAATTAAGGTAAAGTAGGGAGAGGAATGAATATTTCGCAGGACATCGCGGGTGGATATGGTTGGATGTTGGGTGGGGCACGAGGCGAAAAAATATTTTCGCAGGCAGATGCGTTGTAACGGGGCCAACGAGTTTGAACATCAGTCACGAAAAAGAGGGATTAAAAAAAAGAGGTAGGAGAGAAGGCGAAAAAAGTCCGGGAGATGGGTTGTCCGAATGAGTGGGTTGAGCGAGTGAATGACAGATAGACAGCAACCAGACAGGAGACTGACAGTACGGCGGCGGGCTGACAGCTTGCCACTCTGCCGGCCGTTCGCAACATCCAGTATTACCGACTACCGTACGTGTTGATCCTTGTCCCATTCATCGACAAAAAGCGAACCAACCCCCGATTTCGTTCCATCTCCCTCTCTCTCTCTCTCCACTTCCAGGATCGATGATCATTTTTCAGAGAACAACCATCACCACCAGCTCGCTCCAGTTTTATATTAATAATATCTATTGCTCTCTAACTCTCTCTCTCCCTTTACCTATCCCGTTCTCCAATTCGTTTCCATTCTATTTTTATCTATTTGTATTTTTTTATTCCCATCGATAACGATATCGAAACAAAGTCGTTTCGTTTCTTTCGAACGGAAGGAAAGAAAGGAATTGGAAGGAAAAGTATATATATATATATATATATATATATATAGGAGAGAAAAGTCGGTATTAAAAGGTATTAATCGCGATCCTCGAGCTCGTATAAAATGAATTACCGGATTCGTTAGGGAGGCGTTATCGTTATTCGGAATAGGAGCGGCAGTTCCAAGAAAGCACGAATTACTGTCAAAAGTAAACCAAAGTAGGGTATACTTATGACTACAAATTAAGTATAATTCCGACGGTCGTAATAACGTAACAACGGGCCGCTACATAATTATTCGGCGTAATCGGCAAGCCTGGAGCGGTGTACTTTAACTACCTTTTAAAATTGCGCTTAAATTACAGTCATACGATATTTGAGGAATATCATTCACGTGCACGGCGCTAAATATATTTTCACGTACGGGAAGGTGTTTGAGATATCGTTGAAAACACCACGTGTGCACGAATGCGTTCGAAATAAATTAAATGAATTAAATAAATCGTTGTAAAAAAAAATTTGCTGTATATTTCCTATGTATTTACACCCATTTACATCGTTATCCTTAGATAATCCAACTATTCATCTTCTTTTTAACCGAACTGTACGAATAAATAATTCTTGCCAAGAGATATCTATCATCGAGAGAGAGAGAGAGAGAGAGAGAGAGAGAGAGAGAGAGAGAGAGAG